GGCCTGGGCCAAATAAGTCTCCAATCTCCATCAACTTTCCTTGTTCATATACCACCTCATGATTCCTTCTTCTCCTGAGTAGGAAGTCATAGCCCTGGGTTGAGATCTGTGTAGAAGTAGCAGTTGTGTGAATTTTTGGTGCAAATACTCATTTTTCCATGACTGTGTAGGGTAGGAACTCTCTCTCCTTTGGTTATGGAATTTTTTTTTGATTCCTAGAGAAAGGAGAGAAAGATGGAATATTTGTTCAATTGTTTCTCCACTTATTCCACAATTGTTTTCTGAACCCACTTGAAGCTACACCCTGTGCTGGCTGCTGATATGGTACATTCTTGCCAGGCCAGTGGAGAAAACAGGGTCCTGTGGAGAAGATCCCGCTTAAATTTTTTTTTGAATTATTGATTTGCTTTATAAAAATAGGATTGTATATGTATACATAATTTTATTTTTTTAATTTTGTTTTATTGCTTAAAGTATTACAAATAGTATTACATATGTCTCCTTCTTTCCCCTCCGCCCCTTGACATGTCCCCGGCCTCCCCTACCCCCCCACCCCCCAGTGTCTTATGTCCATTGGTTATGCTTATATGCATGCATACAAGTCCTTCGGTTGATCTCCACCTTAAGTTTTGACTTGACCAAATCATTCTCATAGGGTGATGTTTCTTCCTTCTGCAAATATCTAATCTAGGGTTTACACTGTGAGGCACTTATCTAGAGGCTGGGAATAAAGAGTAAACAAACAGACACAACTGTCTGCTCTCATTAATTCCATGACCTGAGCTATTAACCCCACTGAGCATCAGTTTTTTCATTCATAAATTGTAAGTAGTTATGATGGAGTGAAGGATATAATGAATGGTAAAGCGGATAGGATTGGTTCCTGAGAGTACCTCCTCTGCACCCACCCATTTAACCACATGGCAAGGATATTCTTCTACTCGCACCTGTGGTTTTCTGTCTGAGGATTCTCTCTCAGGCATTGGGTGTGACAGGCCAGAAGCCCTGGGGAACTAAAGCTCCAGAGGGAGCTCTCAAACAGTGATAGGTGGCAGTACCCTGACCCCCAGGAAAGATAGTACTGTCTTCTGAAGATCCCTAGTTCATTGAACCTCAGTTGCCCCACAATGCAGGTTTCATTGGTTTCCCCCTTTCCCTTCCCACTTCTCTCTCCTAATGGTGCTTCCAGGGAACCAGTTCTTGAATAAGCCACCTGCTCTCCAATGTCAGCTTCTGGGGGAAATCACCTGGACAGAGGAAAAAGTGGTTTATGAACTGTGAGGAGCTGAGCACATGTCAGGGACTGTGCCCCTGGGAGGAACCTCAAGGTCATATCTTTGTCAGATTCCAAGTTGAATTACTGCTACATCCTTTTCCCTTTTCCCTTCAGAGTATTTTGAATGACTTTCATCTCTCCTCGTAGATGAATGTTTGAGATGATGCAAGTGACCCACCTGGGGTCCTGAAGCCCAGTTCATCTTGGGAAACCTGCTGGACCTCCAGAGTATTTGGGCCAATTTTCACCTGTAGCTTGGTGAGAATAGGGTATTAGGGGCCCACTCCCTCCTCTGGAATCATCATCTGAAGATCCACTTTTATTGTCTCTCGTGAGAACATTTCTGGCAAAGTGCAGATCTTCTAATGCATCAATATGGCCACTCTGCATCATGGCTATGGCCCACCCCACTCTGAATCCTATGTCTGCCTGAGGTGCCAAGAGAGGACTTTGGTCTTTTGGTGCCATGTTCTCCAAAATATCCTGGTTTTAATGGATCTCCTAGCATTCCACATATCTAAATTCTCTTGATTTAGTAAAACTTTCAAAATTCTACCCTTACCACCAATACTTCTATCAATATACATTTTAGCATTATGCCTTTGACCAGGGGTTGGCAAATTCTGGCCAAATCTAAGTGTTCACCTCTTGTACAACCTGTGACCTAAGAATGGTTGTTACATTTTTAAATGGTTGAAAAAGTCAAAGAAGAATTATATTTAATGACATGAAAATTATATAAAATGCAAGACATGTGAAGAGATGTACATCCAGTTACATGAAACTCATAGGTCTTGGTACAGATTCAACTTTAAAAGGACTTTATTTATCACATTATATTGAAATTGTCAAAATGAAAGACAAAGAGAATACGAAAGGAGCAAGAGAATGACCGATCTCAGACAAGGTGACTCCCAAAAAGCTATGAACAAATTTCAGCAGAAACATCACTGTTCAGATAGAGTAGATGATATATTCAAAGTGCTGAGAGAAAAAACATCTGTCAACTAAGAATGAGCAAAGGTTCAGAAATGAAAGAGCTATAAAGGTATTCCTAGATAAACATAAGTGGAGGGAGTTCATTACCACTAGAACGGACTCACAAGAAATGCAGAAAGGAATTCTCCAAGCTGCAATAAAGGATGTTAATTGGTAACATGAAAATATATGAACGTATATATCTTACTGTCAAATTCAGAATATGCTATACAGTAGTGATGGTGTATAAATAATTCTAGTAGAGTGATGAAAAGACAAAAGTATTGGCTAATGCTGTGGGAGTGGGTGGGCGTGGGTTGTCAGACTGTAGTAAATCCTGGGAGCTGGTGAACGGGGGCATGGAGGCACTGGTGCAGGATAATATGATGACCTTGGAACGTCTTTGGGGTATGCAGTGGGTCATTGACTGATGATCAGGCATTTGATTTTAACTTTTAGCTTTGTAACAGCTTAAGGGACCACGTGAGAACATGTATGGAGTTGGCCCCTGTCACTGCAAACGGTTCAGAGTTTGTATGCTCCTTTTTACAAGTGATTTCCCAGATCACAGTGCTCTGCTGAGATTTGAGTGGGATTTGAGAATTTGGGGAACACCTGCAGCTTTGTAACTTCAGAGGTGTAATCAGTTAAAAAATTCACCATTTGTGGAGTTGTGTTTTGTCAGTCATCTCTGCTAACTGAGCCCCAAGAAGGACTCCATGAAAGCTGACAGAAGAAGTCACTGTTATAGTGAAGTGTGTGTGTGTGTGTGTGTGTGTGTGTGTGTGTGTGTGTGTGTGGAGGGGGGGTGCTAAATTGCCCAATAGGACCAGAAACTTAATTAACATCAAAATGAATCAGCACATGTGGCTACTGAATGACTCCAAGATGTGGTGGCGGGTGAGGAAGTGGCCAACAGGACAGACCATGGTGCTGTCCATCTACATGGAGAGGAAATATGGCCTGAAGAAGGGCTCCCTCATGAAGACTCTGAAGAATACACTGAGCCTTGGAAATACCAAGAGGAAGACCAGTATGTGGGATTCATCCCTGATACCCAGCACCGATGCTGAGTACCCTGACAAGGGGGAAGTTGCCACCCATATCTATGACCTCAACATCCTGGACTTTGTCAAGTTTGCCTACATGCCTGAGAGGTTAGGTGACCTGTCCCTGGCGAAGGGGTCATGTGTCACTACCTTGGAGACATGCAGCAATGGCTGGTGATATCGCAGCTACAACGGGCAGTTGGACTTGTTTCCCTTCAACAACATCCTGAGGAGGTAGGCAAGCTGGCCACCAAGTTCCAAACTTACTCAGCTTGCTGAAGGGCTCATCCCCTGTGTCCTGCATGTGGTCCATAAAGTTTACCTTTTCAGCTTGGCCACCGAGAAGCTCAAGTTCGAGAAGGGAGAGACTGTGAAGGTCATTGAGAAGCCTTGGAATGACCAAGAGAGGTGGAAATGCAAAAATGCCTGGGGGCAGGCAGGCCTTGTCCACCCAACTATGTGGTGGTGCTCAGCCATGGGCCTGCCCTGTCCACGTTGCATGCCCCATACATCAGCTACCCAGGGTAGGGGCAGCGGGTGCTTTGCAGACAGAGAGTGGTGCTATGGCAATAACACACCACCAGGCCAGGTGCGTCCTCAATGAGGGGTGCTGGAGGGCGACATCCTCATTGGGGACAGCGAATCCTCACCCAGTGACTTGTCATGTGTCTCTCAAAGCACCAGGAAAGAACGAACATTACAAGGTGCAGCTTGTGAAGAGTGTCAACTACATCAGGCAGCGGCAGTTTCCCACTATGGACACTACAAAAAGGCCCCCTCCTCACCGCGGGCATGGGGAGAAGCTGTACCTCATCGGAGCGCTTCAGTGATGTCCTCCCAGGGCCCTGCCACCTCCAGGCCTTGGTGCCACACTTACTTCCCCAGCGCTGATCTGGTGGCTCCAAGAAGACATGGTGGGTCACCTGCTCTCCAGCTCCTGTTCTGTCCAGTGGCTCCTCCCCTACTGGGGTCCTTTGCCTGGTTGATGTTTCTGTCCAGGTTCTTTATTTCCAACTGCCTCCCCTTTGCCATCCCAGTCCCTCATTCCAGGGTTCAAGGCCACCCCTCCCTACTGTGGTCAGTTTTAGAGAATGAAAGATGGAAGAGGGCAAGTTTGTCCAGTTTATTCTTCTCAATTAGAAACAGCCGTAGGGGGAGAAACCAAGATGGCGGCATAGGTAAACACCGGAGATTGCTGCCTCATACAACCACTTCAAAAATACAACTAAAAGACAGAACGGACATCATCCAGAATCACAGGAAGGTTGGCTGAGTGGAAATTCTACAACTAGAAGGAAAGAGAAAAGCATACCGCGACTCGGAG